AACATCAGGCTCGGCAAGCGCAGCTTCGTAAACCCTTCTCTTGCCTTCGTCGAAGTCACCTGACTTCGCCGAGGTTCGTTTTGGAGGTTTTGGGCCTTGAGGGGCCTGACTTGTCTGTTAACCGAGGTTTTGAGTTTGGGCTCAGGTGCGATCTCCTCGCGATCCAAACTGGACCCCTGGGGGTAGCTAGGGAGGCTAACAGCACCTGCGGGTGCGGCGCCATGGCGCCGACGTCGGGCGGGCGACAAGGATCCTCCGTCATGACCCATGCCAATCACATGGCTGATGTGATGAGAAAGATGTGGAAAAAGTTGAAGAGTGAAGCGAGCTTGAGCTACCCCTCATGGTTCGTACGCTTTCTGTGGAACAGAAGCAAAGGCTGCCTCCTTGGGGGTTTCGAGCAGCCGACCACCATGGACTTGGGTTGTCCAATGGGGGTCCAGTCAAGCAATGATCGTGATCTGACAACACTCAAGGCCATTTTGGCCAGGAAATTCAATGGGCAGCACCAGCCCGGAGTGGTGCACAGTGGGTTCGGCGAGCCTCTCATCCCGAGAGGGCTCTACTTCAGCATGTGGTGGCAGAAGGACCTCTGCCATGGAATCAGCTCAAGCATGGCAGCTTGGAGCAGCGGCACCCCTGACGATGCGTTGAGCAGCGGAGGCGATGGCAGCGGCAGCAGATGTGGCGGCAGCTGTGGTGGCAGCTATGGCGGCAGCTGTGGCGGCGAGTGCGGAGATGGCAACGGCGGCTGCTGTGATGGCAGCGGTGATTGCAGGAACTACAAGATCGACAGCGGCGACTTCCGGGATACCGGCGGCTGTTGCGGCAACTACAAGGATGGCAGCGGCGAGAACAGTGGCTGCTGTGGTGGATGGACCCATGGCTGCGGTGATGGCAGCGGTTGCGTCAATGTTGACTGCCGCTCAGGCGGCGGTGGCAGCAGCTGTGGCTGCGGTGGCGGCAGCTGTGGCGGCGACTGGGGCGATGGCAATGGCGATGGTGCTGGGGCAGAGCTCTTTTATGTCCACCCCGACGCGGCTCTCCAGAACCAGACTCTTCACGAAGAACCTGTTGCAACAAAGGACCCCCCGACACACACTGGAACAGCTTGTGCAGGCAGTGATTGCAGTGTACTGTTGCCGTTGTGGGTTGAGTGCAACCATGTTTACCATGGATATTTGGAGTCATGCTTACATGTCTTTGGCACGCCAATCTTGCTGCATGAACGATTTTCGCTTCATGAGTGCATTGAGATGGTTGGCGTTCCCTCAGCGCCCGCCACCACTGAGGGAGATTTCTCCAAGGAGCCTCTCAACAGCAGTGCGTGTGAGCAGCAGTCTTGTGTAGAAGAGTCATCATCTGCGACTGTTACCTCTGAATGTGAGCAGTCATGTCCTATGCCAGCGGATGATTGTGACTTTCGTCGGGGCCCTTCGGGCCCTTGGGACTCCTCTTTCACTGGGCATGAGGATCTTTCTGCTATGCTTTCAGTCAGTGCATGTGAGCATCATGTCAGTGCGTGCGAACAAGTCACCAGGGCATGTGAACAGACCTATTCCGAGGGCAGCGCAGGACCTTGTTTTGCAGATGATGGTTGCGATTTTCTGGGGGGCCCGATTCGCACCTGGCAGAGGCAACCCTACGATGATGCAGGCACGGATTTTCTTGGAGGGCCTCTGGGCAGTTTTCATGGCTCATGCCGGGGCCATTTTTCCACAGAGCCTTCCATCGGGCCTTTCAGTGATTGTGCTACTCCCGACATGAGTGGCAGAGAATGTTTCCATGGAGTTATGCAGTACCTCCCCTCACTACAAGCATGTTTCAATGCCCTAATGGGGTGCCGAATAGGCGAAGCTGCAAACCCAGGGCCTGACTTTGACCTGAACCTGCAGATGGGAGGGCTCGGTGATCTTCTCGGGCCCTCTTTCATTGAGTCTCTCAAGAAGCAGCTTCAGGCTGCGATTCAAAATGCGATCAAGCAGGCGTTGGCTGGATTCAGCCTTGACATTACGTGCGCTCAGTCCTCTCAGGGTGACCCGAAAGGGCAGGCCGACACTTCCAAGGAAGAGTCGCAGCGCGCCAAGAGAAGGCGCAAGGGCAAAGGTGATGCAGTTGATGCTACCAAAAACCCGCCCCAACCTGAGACTGCTCCCCCAGGCCCTCCCAAGGGTGGTTCTGGACGTGCAGCCTGAAGGCAAAGGCAAAGGGAAGAGCAAGGGAAAGGATCCTGTGAAGCCCGACCCTTTACTTCAACGTGCGCCTCGCAAAGCTGATGGCTGCGACCAAGGCAGCTGGCAGCAGGTGAGCCGGAAACCGCCCCAGGAGGTCTGGGCTCTTCGTGCTGAAGATTGGGACTCTCCGGTCATCGAGTATAACGACGTCGCTGACAACCTCGACAAGACCACAGGTGTGTTCAAGGCCATTGTTTTGTGCACCGAGGAGCAGGTCGCTGCTTTGTCTACGCTACTTCAAGGATCTGGCAAGGTCCACGGCATCACGGCTGTGGTGATCACCAACAATGTGGCAGACGAGCGCTGCCCTGGAGCCTGTGGCCACAAGCTCGTGTTCAAGCGGGTCCGGTACACCCACGTTCAGTCCCCTGGTCAGACCAGGCCGATGCCAAAGGTTTTGGGCGCCAAGCTGGCCAAGGTAGCCCCCGAGCCTACGGTGGTCCTATACGCCAGGTTCTACAAGCACTTTGTGACACCTGCAGCCTGGGATTCCATTCTCAAGACGCCCCAGATTGCCTTCCACACGTGGACTGCAAAGCGGCATCTTCAAGTCCATGAGTCCTGGGGCTGGGGCAAGGAGAAGCATGGCTCCACCTCTGAGTTCAACAAGGTCTTTGGTATGGTCCGCGTATCCACCAAGAACGCGGAAGCCCTGCTGAGCCAGTCTGGCGTGGAGGGCTGTTTCCTGGATGTGCCTCGTTGGACGCAGATCGCTGCGCAGACCACCGAATGGATCGAGAAGTCGCCGAAGGAGTCCTACGCCGACTACCTAGCCCGCGCTTTGACTCTTGGCTCGAAGTTTGGCCTCACCTATGGCATGCGCAGCTTGGGGAAGCGAGTCGCCAGGGAAGCTCATACCAAAGTGGCCCGCGTGTGGATGCTGGAGCGGGTCCCGCAGGCCTGGACAGCCGAGCAGGCCCGCCTGGTTGTTTCTAAAGAGTTCGAAGGGGTCGAGATGCTTCGGCAGCACCGCACCAAGAAGGGCACTGACTTCGTGTTCAGGGGGTCCCACACAACCGAGCATGACATCATTGCCATCCCAGTGGAGGACGCCGACGGCCAAAACCCTATGGTTTACTGGTGCAGATGGGCCCCCTCGAAGCGAAAGGTGGAGCAGCAGGCAATCAAAACGCGGAGCTCGTGGTCTTTGGCCCCGCCACGTGACCCTTTCGCGACCACTGAGCAGGTCGTTCAGCCACCCCCGCAGCAGGATGCCTCCATGGAACCTTCTTCTGGTCAGGCTGCTGGGACTGAAGGCACCGAGACAAAGCAGGCCCCGCCTGCTAATGGCAAAGGCACCAAGCGGCCCGAGGGCAACGATGCCAGTTCCAACGGCAAACGTGCCTGCGCTGCCCAGAGGGCTCTTCCGCCGGAGCTTGTGCTTGACGGCAACTGCCTCTTCGCCTCGCTCTCTGAGGGCCTCGCACACACCACCGACGAGAAGGCCATCAACCCCAAGCAGCTCCGTGCGGAGATTGTGCAGCACCTCACTAAGAACCGCGAACGTTACGAGCCAGGCTGGGACCACGAACTTCCGGGTGGCACTGCCGACCACGACTTCAACAACTACCTTCAGGCGATCGCGCAGGACAAGACGTGGGGAGGACTGTTGGAGATCCAGGCCTTTGCTCGCCGCTACGACACGAGGGTTATCATCTACCCCCGGGCACCCACGGAGCCGGTCTGCGTTGTCCAATGCAAAGGCCAAGTCCAAGGTGGTTGTGCTCGTCTTCAACGGCTCCCATTTCGACTACCTCCTCCCGGCCTCTGGGCGGCGCTTCCCGAAGAACCTCATGGACGTCAAGGAGGGCCCTCCGCGCGTGCCTATGCGAGGGGGAGGGCTTTCGCGGGCAGGTGTGGTCTGACAATCGGGCCTCTAGCAAGTCAGTTTGCTCGCGCGGTGGACCTCGATCTGCTGCTCCTCGCCTGGCCTCCCGGCGCACAGCCTGGACTTCACAAAAGGCGTCTAGCATGGCTAGCGATGTCAGCCAGGACCTTGAGGGCTGCAGTTTCAACACGCAGCAAATGCGCATACCGGCATATTGCCCCGGTCCCTGCCAACCTTCTGTTCGCGTGTACCTTGTGTCCTATGAAACAGCAGATGAAAAGCATTGGGGCCTACCGAAATTTTCGGACCAAGCACTACACCAAATTCCACGACGGCCAGCACCTCCCGGGCAAGTTCTACAGGCCGGTGGTACGGCATCTTCTGCCGGATGAGGAGGTCTTTTGGAGATGCCCCTTGTGCCCCATGGGTATCTCAGTGGCCATGCGGAAACAGATCTTGCGTGGCACTTTTGCGGCAATGCGGCGTGCACACCGGGACACACATCACTCAAAGGTGACCCGGGCCAAATGGAAGAAGCTCATGGCTTTGCCCCAGCAAGGCCCCAAGAACCTTCCAAATCACATTGAGGACTGCCGGCGCCGCATGCTGGCCAAGACTGTGATGAAGGAGGTCCAAAAACCACGCTACCCGGGCCTCAGCATGTTCGTTTTCCCGCGGGCAAAGTTTGCTCAAGGCACCAAGACCATCCTCAAGGTCTCCTGCGAGCACGCTTGGAAATGTCAGAAGTGCCAGGCCGTGGTCAGGTCGACCCCGTTCGTTAAGCGCCACTCCAAGGGGCCTTGCCCGGAGACGCGGCCGGCCTTTGCACAGCGGCAGATTCGACGACTTCGTGACATTCGACAGTGGTTGCAGACGCAGAAGAAGTACACGGACGAGAAGGCTCGGCTGCTCCAGGCCACCGACGCAGCCATCAGTGCATGCGGGCCATCGACAAGCCCCTCTTTGCAACCTTCACCTTCTTTCTGACGGCGAACCTCAACAAGACGGGCATCACCAAAAACCCTCTGGCCGCTGAGCTGGCCAGGGAGGCCCAAGCCTCTTTTATTTCTCTGCAGGAGATCGATGTGAACTATCTCTCTGCTCCCGGCTTTGTGGAGGCTTGGCGGCACGAGGGCTACAGTGCGCTCCTGAGCGCTGGCGATGTGAACAAGGGCTCACATAGGGTGGCTTTGGTTTCGAAAGTGCCCCTTCGACAGGTCAATCTGGGTTTGGCTAGGGCGCAACCGCGCCATGTAGCTGGGCTGGTGGAGCTGTGCAGCGGCTCCCGCAAGCATCACCTCTTAGTGATTGCGGCCTACGGCTTTCCTGGCGATCTGGAGGCCACCTCTGAAATGCTGCGCGAACTGGTGGAGGCTGCGCGGGCCTTTGGTGGCTCCTTTGTGATCTTCGGTGACTTCAACGCTACTGCAGACGAGGGCTACATCGTCGAAGCTACTGCGAGTGGAGTGGTGAACGTGCTGGACGCCGACTTCGAGGAGGCCCTCCCCTTCACCAACCCCTACCGCGCGGACCCGAACACCGGAGAAAAGCGACGCACCCGCCGCATCGACTATGCCATCGCGGACCGCAGTACTCTGGCCAGCAGGGTGGAGCACTTTGAGCGTCCGGACCTTTCGGACCACCTCTGTGTGCGCTGTGACCTCGAGGTGGAGTGCCGCCGATCTGACTACGTGCTCCCGAAGTTCCAGGAGCTCTCACTGCAAGATGAGGCGGCCATTGGACTCAACTTCGACGCCGTCTGGGACGAAGAGCTGTTCTCCACCTACCTCGACGCGGATCAAAAAAAGATCAGCTGGACGAGGCCTGGACGCAGCTCTCGGATGTGGCCGAGTGCTCTCTGGGTGCCGACTTCTTCGGCTGGGCGGACAGAAGCAGACGTAGCTCCTTTTGGGAACCTGTGCGACCTCGACGAGCTGAGCACCGATGCGGAGAGCGTGGGCACGAGTCTCGTGCAACGCAACTTCTTCGTGGCCTCCTTGGGCGACTGTCTCAGCTTCGTCAACAGCCTCACGATGAACACCTTCAACGTGCTATTCGACGAGGTTGTGGTCAGCTGCGGCGCGTGGTTTCGGGCTTCCCCTACATCGACCTCTGCTACATCGACGCCTCCATCGACGCCGTCTCCGAGCTCTACAACGTCTACTCGGAGCAGGAGCGCAACGCAAGGCTGGAAAGATGGCGTGTGGACACGCAACAGCAGTGGGCCAAGGCCCACACCTGGGTCAAGCGCAAGGCTGAGGAGGCGTTGAAGCTCCAGGGGCCCACTGTCAGGCCTGATGCGATCCCCACCTGCGTGCATCCTGCTTCCATGGTGGCTGAACACGCAGAGTTGTGGCACAAAAAGTGGACCTCATCTAGCACTTCGAATGACGCCAGTGCTGTGCGCGGCATACTGGCCTCCTTGCAGCAGTTTCCCCTCTCAGACCTGAAGTTCGACCTCAGCCCTGAGGACCTCATCAGAGCTACAAAGAAGATGAAGGGGAAGAGCCCTGGAGCAGACCAATGGACGCCTGAGCAGCTCCTCGCCCTCCCAAAGGCGTGGTGGGCTGCTGTGGCGCGCTTGTGGTGCCGGCCTGCTCCTACGTTCCTGTGGCTTGGCGCAGAGCAGTCGTTGCGCTGCTTCCCAAGCGTGACGAGGCCACTCGGCCAATCGCCTATTGCTCTGTGATCTGGAGGGCCGGGGCGAGGTGCATGAATGCGCAACTTCGGGGTTGGGTCGACACTTGGCTCAACCACCTGGCACTTGGAGCGGCCCCTCAGTGGGGAGTTCAGGACGGCCATGCACGAATCCTGCAAGCTTGGCACATGGGATGCCGCCGCTACGTGAAGCAGGATTTGTCTGCCTACTTCGACAGCTCGGTGGAGCTGGTCCTGGCACGACTTGGGGCTCCTCAGTGGCTGGCGGGGCTCCTGCGGTCCTTCTACACTGAGCCCCAACGCCTCTTCAAGGCTGGGGGCTGCTTTGACGCTCGTTGGCGCACTACCGCCGCCGGCTTCTTGCAGGGGTGCCCGTTGTCTCCGGTCATCGCATTGGCGGTGGGGGCCACATGGGCCGAGTACTGCAGGCGCTCAGATGTGGACTTGATGATCTTCGTCGACAGGGCTCTTTGGCCTCTGCCTCATGCTGCTTGCCCAGTTACAGCTCTCCGGGCTGCCTTGCAAAGGAGCGACCACTTTGACGAGGCCTTCAAGTTTGTCTGCAAGCCCACGAAGTGTGCAATCGTGGTGCTCGACTCTGACTCTTCTCTGAACGAGCTCATTGCTGAAAGGGGGTACCCCAGAGAAAGCTCTCTGGAGCTTCTTGGCATCGAGCTGAAGCTCAGCGACGGGGCCACCTCGCTGTTAAAGCTGTCGTTGCAGACTCTTTTGCTGCGACTTCGATACCTACGACTCCTGCAACCTCGGATGGAGTACCGACGCCGTATCCACTCAGCTCTGTTTTGGGCGGCTGGGGTGGCTAGGCCTAGCGCACGTGAAACACAACAGCTTCAGGCAGAGATCACTGCGACTCTTAAGGACTGCATCACCGAGGAGACGCCCCAGGTGCTCGTCTACGCGGTCTTTGGCTGGCAGTTTTCAGTGGAGTGGTACGGCGACTGGGCCGCGCTGAAGACGGCCTGGCGGTTTCAAACCCGCCCTCCTGCATGGCTCGACACCGTCAGCTTCGGCCAACGGCAAGGTGCTGCAGCGCACCGATGCCCGAAGGGACACACGGCGCTTTTTCTTTGGCTACGACAACCTCGGCGTCCTCAAGCACTGGCTTAAGGAGGAGCACCAACGGCGAGGCGTGCACCGATGCGGGCGAGTTAAGCGGTCGCTCATCGCGCCGAACCCGAGTGTGCACGCGGTCTCGCACTACCTGGTCCCCCTCACGGTCAACACCACGCCCTTGCTGGACGCCGTCTTCTTGGTCGACAAGGCCCTGTGGAGCTGCGGCGCGCGGCCATGGCAAGTGGAGGTAGTGCGTGGCACACTGCTGCGAAACTTCGCCGTTCTCGGGACGTGCCAGTTCAGTGCCTGTGCGGGGGCCTTTGGCCCAGCCGGGCCCACCTCGCGTGGGCGTGCGAGAAAACTGCGGTCTGCAGACATGAGGTGCCTTTGCCCCGTGAACGCGCTCAGGAGCGGCTTTTCGCTGCCCCGATCGAGGCGTACCCGCCGGCGCCGCCAGCTGTGGACTTGGAGGGATTCGAGCAGGACGTTGCTGACCACCTCGAGGCCTTCTTCAAGGACGACGCGGAGCTGTTCCTCGCAAGCGACGGCAGCGCCAAGGAGGGAGTTGGAGCCTTCGCCATCGTTACCGCCGAGGCCTCTTTCGGTACGGGTGATGCTTCGGAGGACCAATCTGCGTTCAGGAACGAGGCCCTGGCACTGCTCTACATCACACGTGCTCTACAACGACTGCCTGGAGATCGACGAGGACGTGTTCATGTGCTTTGCGACTGCCAAGCTGCACTGCAAGGAGTGGCTCGGCCGGGCATGTCTGCTCTTCCTTGCATCTTCGAGGAGATTGCGACCAATCTGCGGAACTTGCAAAGTCGGGGCATTGCTGTCAGCCTCACTTGGGTGCCTGCGCATGGCAGAAAGAGGCACTGGAGGCCACCTGATGGAATCAGTGCTGAGTTGTGCCGGGACCTCAACGACAAGGCCGATGCTGCGGCCAACTGTGCACGTGAGAACAGAGCTGCCCACTCCAGACGGGCACTTTGGCACCAGGCCTTTGGAGAGGCCACTGCTTGGGAAACGCGCCTGCAACTGAGCCTGAGGGCTCCCTGGACTAAGCAGCTGCAGCTGGGCGCTGGCTGCTGTGCTGCTGGCCTTCGGCTGCGCTGCTGGCGAGCACAGCTGAGCTTCTGCACCTGCACTTTTGAGTTGGCTTCCCGAACCCACTTTCCTTACCAGTTTTGAGCGCAGCCCTTTGATGCTGCCTTTTCATTCAGTGACGATGCTCTTGTCTCTGAGCTTCGGTTCGCGACTTTCGTGGCAATGCACTTGTACACTTTTGGCGTTGCATGTCACTTCAAGTATAGTTTTGCCCTGAAACATGGTTTTCGTGGCATGGTTCGTTCTGGGTTGCCTGCGAGCTCTTCAGGCTTGTTCATGGCACCCGCTTTCACGAGAGTGAGGAACCCGTGCTGGTCGGACTTTCTGCTTCCCGGCAGGGCTTCACCACCTTTACAAAAGTTTGCTTGTTTGAGATGTGAGCAGCATGCCTCTGGCAGTTTGTACAGCGGCCTCGCATGTCTGCCAAACACTCGTCAAGCCTGGTTCGGTGTCACGCCGACTGACCTGCTTAAGACAGGGCGAGCAGGACCTTTCTTCTTGAGGGGCCTGACTTGTCCGTTAACCGAGCGAACCGAGGTTTTGGGAGTTTGGGCTCAGGTGCGATCTCCTCGCGATCCAAACTGGACCCCTGGGGGTAGCTAGGGAGACTAACAGCACCTGCGGGTGCGGCGCCATGGCGCCGACGTCGGGCGGGCGACAAGGATCCTCCGTCATGACCCATGCCAATCACATGGCTGATGTGATGAGAAAGATGTGGAAAAAGTTGAAGAGTGAAGCGAGCTTGAGCTACCCCTCATGGTTCGTACGCTTTCTGTGGAACAGAAGCAAAGGCTGCCTCCTTGGGGGTTTCGAGCAGCCGACCACCATGGACTTGGGTTGTCCAATGGGGGTCCAGTCAAGCAATGATCGTGATCTGACAACACTCAAGGCCATTTTGGCCAGGAAATTCAATGGGCAGCACCAGCCCGGAGTGGTGCACAGTGGGTTCGGCGAGCCTCTCATCCCGAGAGGGCTCTACTTCAGCATGTGGTGGCAGAAGGACCTCTGCCATGGAATCAGCTCAAGCATGGCAGCTTGGAGCAGCGGCGCCCCTGATGAGGCGTTGAGCAGCGGAGGCGATGGCAGCGGCAGCAGATGTGGCGGCAGCTGTGGTGGCAGCTGTGGCGGCAGCTGTGGCGGCGAGTGCGGAGATGGCAACGGCGGCTGCTGTGATGGCAGCGGCGATTGCAGGAACTACAAGATCGACAGCGGCGACTTCCGGGATACCGGCGGCTGTTGCGGCAACTACAAGGATGGCAGCGGCGAGAACAGTGGCTGCTGTGGTGGATGGACCCATGGCTGCGGTGATGGCAGCGGTTGCGTCAATGCTGACTGCCGCTCAGGCGGCGGTGGCAGCAGCTGTGGCGATGCTGGCTGCGGTGGCGGCAGCTGTGGCGGCGACTGGGGCGATGGCAATGGCGATGGTGCTGGGGCTGAGCTCTTTTATGTCCACCCCGACGCGGCTCTCCAGAACCAGACTCTTCACGAAGAACCTGTTGCAACAAAGGACTCCCCGACACACACTGGAACAGCTTGTGCAGGCAGTGATTGCAGTGTACTGTTGCCGTTGTGGGTTGAGTGCAACCATGTTTACCATGGATATTTGGAGTCATGCTTACATGTCTTTGGCACGCCAATCTTGCTGCATGAACGATTTTCGCTTCATGAGTGCATTGAGATGGTTGGCGTTCCCTCAGCGCCCGCCACCATTGAGGGAGATTTCTCCAAGGAGCCTCTCAACAGCAGTGCGTGTGAGCAGCAGTCTTGTGTAGAAGAGTCATCATCTGCGACTGTTGCCTCTGAATGTGAGCAGTCATGTCCTATGCCAGCGGATGATTGTGACTTTCGTCGGGGCCCTTCGGGCCCTTGGGACTCCTCTTTCACTGGGCATGAGGATCTTTCTGCTATGCTTTCAGTCAGTGCATGTGAGCATCATGTCAGTGCGTGCGAACAAGTCACCAGGGCATGTGAACAAACCTATTCCGAGGGCAGTGCAGGACCTTGTTTTGCAGATGACGGTTGCGATTTTCTGGGGGGCCCGATTCGTACCTGGCATAGGCAACCCTACGATGATGCAGGCACGGATTTTCTTGGAGGGCCTCTGGGCAGTTTTCATGGCTCATGCCGGGGCCATTTTGCCACAGAGCCTTCCATCGGGCCTTTCAGTGATTGTGCTACTCCCGACATGAGTGGCAGAGATTGTTTCCATGGAGTTATGCAGTACCTCCCCTCACTACAAGCATGTTTCAATGCCCTAATGGGGTGCCGAATAGGCGAAGCTGCAAACCCAGGGCCTGACTTTGACCTGAACCTGCAGATGGGAGGGCTCGGTGATCTTCTCGGGCCCTCTTTCATTGAGTCTCTCAAGAAGCAGCTTCAGGCTGCGATTCAAAATGCGATCAAGCAGGCGTTGGCTGGATTCAGCCTTGACATTACGTGCGCTCAGTCCTCTCAGGGTGACCCGAAAGGGCAGGCCGACACTTCCAAGGAAGAGTCGCAGCGCGCCAAGAGAAGGCGCAAGGGCAAAGGTGATGCAGTTGATGCTACCAAAAACCCGCCCCAACCTGAGACTGCTCCCCCAGGCCCTCCCAAGGGTGGTTCTGGACGTGCAGCCTGAAGGCAAAGGCAAAGGGAAGAGCAAGGGAAAGGATCCTGTGAAGCCCGACCCTTTACTTCAACGTGCGCCTCGCAAAGCTGATGGCTGCGACCAAGGCAGCTGGCAGCAGGTGAGCCGGAAACCGCCCCAGGAGGTCTGGGCTCTTCGTGCTGAAGATTGGGACTCTCCGGTCATCGAGTATAACGACGTCGCTGACAACCTCGACAAGACCACAGGTGTGTTCAAGGCCATTGTTTTGTGCACCGAGGAGCAGGTCGCTGCTTTGTCTACGCTACTTCAAGGATCTGGCAAGGTCCACGGCATCACGGCTGTGGTGATCACCAACAATGTGGCAGACGAGCGCTGCCCTGGAGCCTGTGGCCACAAGCTCGTGTTCAAGCGGGTCCGGTACACCCACGTTCAGTCCCCTGGTCAGACCAGGCCGATGCCAAAGGTTTTGGGCGCCAAGCTGGCCAAGGTAGCCCCCGAGCCTACGGTGGTCCTATACGCCAGGTTCTACAAGCACTTTGTGACACCTGCAGCCTGGGATTCCATTCTCAAGACGCCCCAGATTGCCTTCCACACGTGGACTGCAAAGCGGCATCTTCAAGTCCATGAGTCCTGGGGCTGGGGCAAGGAGAAGCATGGCTCCACCTCTGAGTTCAACAAGGTCTTTGGTATGGTCCGCGTATCCACCAAGAACGCGGAAGCCCTGCTGAGCCAGTCTGGCGTGGAGGGCTGTTTCCTGGATGTGCCTCGTTGGACGCAGATCGCTGCGCAGACCACCGAATGGATCGAGAAGTCGCCGAAGGAGTCCTACGCCGACTACCTAGCCCGCGCTTTGACTCTTGGCTCGAAGTTTGGCCTCACCTATGGCATGCGCAGCTTGGGGAAGCGAGTCGCCAGGGAAGCTCATACCAAAGTGGCCCGCGTGTGGATGCTGGAGCGGGTACCGCAGGCCTGGACAGCCGAGCAGGCCCGCCTGGTTGTCTCTAAAGAGTTCGAAGGGGTCGAGATGCTTCGGCAGCACCGCACCAAGAAGGGCACCGACTTCGTGTTCAGGGGGTCCCACACTACCGAGCATGACATCATTGCCATCCCAGTGGAGGACGCCGACGGCCAAAACCCTATGGTTTACTGGTGCAGATGGGCCCCCTCGAAGCGAAAGGTGGAGCAGCAGGCAATCAAAACGCGGAGCTCGTGGTCTTTGGCCCCGCCGCGTGACCCTTTCGCGACCACTGAGCAAGTCGTTCAGCCACCCCCGCAGCAGGATGCCTCCATGGAACCTTCTTCTGGTCAGGCTGCTGGGACTGAAGGCACCGAGACAAAGCAGGCCCCGCCTGCTAATGGCAAAGGCACCAAGCGGCCCGAGGGCAACGATGCCAGTTCCAACGGCAAACGTGCCTGCGCTGCCCAGAGGGCTCTTCCGCCGGAGCTTGTGCTTAAACAGGCTGACCCTGACGGCAACTGCCTCTTCGCCTCGCTCTCTGAGGGCCTCGCGCACACCACCGACGAGAAGGCCATCAACCCCAAGCAGCTCCGTGCGGAGATTGTGCAGCACCTCACTAAGAACCGCGAACGTTACGAGCCAGGCTGGGACCACGAGCTTCCGGATGGCACTGCCGACCACGACTTCAACAACTACCTTCAGGCGATCGCAAAGGACAAGACGTGGGGAGGACTGTTGGAGATCCAGGCCTTTGCTCGCCGCTGCGACACGAGGGTTATCATCTACCCCCGGGCACCCACGGAGCCGGTCTGCGTTGTCCATGCAAAGGCCAAGTCCAAGGTGGTTGTGCTCGTCTTCAACGGCTCCCATTTCGACTACCTCCTCCCGGCCTCTGGGCGCCGCTTCCCGAAGAACCTCATGGACGTCAAGGAGGGCCCTCCGCGCGTGCCTATGCGGGGGGGAGGGCTTTCGCGGGCAAAGTCTGTGGCCACGCGCCAGACGGTGTGGTCTGACAATCGGGCCTCTAGCAAGTCAGTTTGCTCGCGCGATGGACCTCGATCTGCTGCTCCTCGCCTGGCCTCCCGGCGGACAGCCTGGACTTCACAAAAGGCGTCTAGCATGGCTAGAGATGTCAGCCAGGACCTTGAGGGCTGCAGTTTCAACACGCAACGAACCTTGAGCAAATGCGCATACCGGCATATTGCCCCGGTCCCTGCCAACCTTCTGTTCGCGTGTACCTTGTGTCCTTTGAAACAGCAGACGAAAAGCATTGGGGCCTACCGAAATTTTCGGACCAAGCACTACACCAAATTCCACGACGGCCAGCACCTCCCGGGCAAGTTCTACAGGCCGGTGGTGCGGCATCCTCTGCCGGATGAGGAGGTCTTTTGGAGATGCCCCTTGTGCCCCATGGGTATCTCAGTGGCCGTGCGGAAACAGATCTTGCGTGGCACTTTTGCGGCAATGCGGCGTGCGCACCGGGACACACATCACTCAAAGGTGACCCGGGCCAAATGGAAGAAGCTCATGGCTTTGCCC